CAACTACACAACCACCTCCTAGAAGATGTACCAATTTAAATTTGTCTTACTGCAAGCATCTACCATACAACGTTACATCTTATCCAAATATATTGGGTCATCGTTCGTTGGCTGATGTGCAAGAGGATGTGATCGCTTTCAGGTACATATCTATTCGCGAACTCGAAACAAATTTTATCAAATGCATGATCATTGTGAATTCATACGATCTCGCTTCTACATTATTACAGAAACTTTTTCATTATAGAGAATTAGTCGATGCGGAATGTTATCGTTTGGCATACGACTTTGTATGCCAGATTTTACAACCGACATGTATATCCAGTCAACCGGAAGATCTACTGCAGTTACCTTGCAGAAGCTTCTGTAGAGAATTCTGGAACGGATGTGGCAATCGACTTCCGGATAAATTCAAACCGTTATTGGATTGTTCGAATTTCCCGGAATATGTGGATCAAGGTGGTTGTAGAGCAAAACCAGGTAAAGGAACATAACCTTTTATTTATTTTTCAAACAATGAAAAATAATAGAATGAATTTCTATAATTATTGAGCGTTATTATATATATATATATATATATATATATATGTATATATAGGATGTGTGCAAGCGCTTCAAGCAAAAGCATTGTCACCGAGAATTTGCGATGGTGTAATTGATTGTCCTGATCTTTCGGATGAGAAAAATTGTGCTTATTGTCGAGACGGTTATATGCACTGTGGTGTAGGTAGAACTTGTATTCCACGTGGCAAAAGATGCGATGGAAAAATGGATTGCGCCAATGGCAGTGATGAAAAGGATTGTCGTATGTATCTTTCAGATTTATTTTTCATTCTAATTATTTTTTCTTATCGTAATAGAATTTCATCGCTTTCTCTATATTTTTTTCAGTTTCCTTAGCACCAAGTATTCGATCTCTTAAATCGCAACTTTCGGATACACCGTTCACGACAAAATATAACAATGAAGGATTTGTAGTATTCAACGAGAAAGGTACTATTGGTAAACTTTGCACCGCGAATCTGAATGCAACGTTACCAGGAACAGAAATGGAAAACGTTCTTCAAACTGTCGCCAACTCTTTATGCAGTATATTGACTTATACGTAAGTATATCATGCTTTGATTTTTGTAAACAAAGCATGTGAATATTTATTTCAAAAACAATCATTTTTCTTTATAGAGGAATGAAATCCGTAGAAGTTCGAATCGACGATGAAGAGAATATTCAATATGTGCATATGCAGGATCCATTAGCAACAGAGATCACATTCGTTAGAGCGCCCTGTCCAAGCAAAGAAGTTATGTACATCCAATGTTCTGAACTTGGTACGAGGCAAGCCTTAAAAGTTTTTTGTTTTTCCTATTTTATATGAATCTGCAAAATATAACTTATGTTTAGACTGCGGTGTACAATCTCTACATGCAAAAAGTGATAATCGAGGTCTTAATAAAATGGCCGAGCCAGGAGATTGGCCCTGGCACGTAGCTCTCTTTAAAGAAGAGATACACGTATGTGACGCCACACTTGTGGCGGAAAATTGGTTGATTACGACGGCATCTTGTTTTCAAGGGTATATTTTATTATTTTTAGATTATTTCCAATATAAAAATATATATGCAGCATTTCTTTGTATAACACAATCACAGACAGCCAAAGGCAGAATGGTCAGCGAGAATGGGTACTGTACGACTCTCGAGTATATCGCCATGGCAACAAGAGCGTAGAATCATAGGTATGATTAAATCACCGGTAGAAGGAAGCACAACTGTTTTATTAAAACTTGATCGACCTGTGACCACATTTTCGGATTTTGTAAGACCGGTATGTTTGCCTTCGAATCAAGATCCACCAATGAATTCAACTCATTGTAATACCCTCGGATGGGCTAGAAATCGTGAGTATTAAGTTTAATTATATACGATACTTAGGTTTTAGGTGTATCTCGAAATTCTAAGATTATATTATATCATTGCTTCGATACACATTACATAAAAATATAAGTAACTATATATTACATATATATGTAACACGCGTGTATTTTTTTATTTGTCACATCAAGAAAAGAATGCTAAAGCGAAACGAGTTATACAATATCCACGTTGCGGTTATTGTGACCTCATAAAGTGATCTTACCGATATCAATATAATAAAGTAATTTATTATTATTTATAATCATAAATATTAGTAGGTACTTTACAATATTATTGATATATTACTAAAAAGAAATCGTTACGATTAATAAAAAATGTAAGAATTCATTTAATGACTCATTGTCTCTTAAAAAAATGATTTTTTTTTTAACTAGGAGATTTGCTGCAAAGGGTACAGCTTAGACACAGTGCGATGGAACGATGCGAAAATATTAGTATTGCATCGGTAAATAGTATTTGCACAGAACCGGCATATTTTACTGACGACTGTAATGTAAGTGATTTATGATTACTGTATGTAAAAGTCATAAAGAAATGTCTAAAATCATAAAATTATTATTTAAAATATTTACAGGAAGAAGAATTTGCTGGAAGTCCTATGTTATGTCTTCAACCAGACAGTCATAAATGGGCACTAACAGGTGTCGGTAGTTGGCGAATAGCGTGTTCAAAGACCGGTACTGAAAGGCCACGATTGTACGATAAAATTTCCTCTAATATCGCTTGGATAAAATCTACGATTTTTATCTAAAATATTATTTAAATAAATCAATATGGACTGACAGGGACTGAAATTGCAATACATATACATATACACTATAGAATCATTTTTCGCTTCATCCAATTTTTCTATTGTATCTAATAGACTGTAAAATATACATATATTGTAAATTTATAATTGCGTAAAATCGTGTCATCTTATCGTGGCATACATTTTTCGTGTCGGTTCGGTTTGAATCGATTGTATAGTTTTATCAAAGATTCGTTGTTATATCATTGTTCGTATGATATCTACATATATGTTATCGCGTTGTAAAGAAAACAAAAATTATTTTATTAAAGTATAGTCGAAAAAAATAATATGCAAAATTCTTTTTTAAAGATAAATTTGTTTGTTGCAGTATGTATATGTCGCAATATGTATATTTTTCTATTAATCATATTTTTTCTATTATTATTATTATATAAATAGATGTTTTATAAAATTTATCATAGAATAATGAAGATAGATAGTGAAGTATGATTGGTAAGGTTGATATTCTATATTTAATGATCGTTACTGTGCGAAGAAAGTTGTGCGCAGAGTCAAGATATAAATGGTGGGAGGTTTCAATCAGGGTTACTTAATATAATGCTCTTCATGTGCAGAGCAGAGTCTTAGTTCTGCAAATGCGTTGTCAGTTTTTGCGACGGTGTATAGATCAAATCGAATCCAATTTACTCAGTGTGACCAAAAATATGGTAAGAAAATCTCTATTAATAAAACTCTTTGATTTATTTATAATTGTAGAAAATATTACGTAACTGTAATATAAATTTTAAGAGATATCGCGTTTCAAATAAATACAAATATAAATGATGCAACTTAATACTTTTATTTTTGTCATAAATATACAATGAAATATAGAATGAAATATATATTAAATAATTATAAATTAAGCATAATACATGCAAATTAATTTATTATCAGAGATTTTATATATAATTGACAACAATTAACGATATTAAGTTGGAGACAAATTATATATTTCATTATCTTAATTTTTAATTAAAGTTCCAATCACCAATATTTTATAAAAAAGAATTGATTTTTTTTTATCGAAATATTTTCTTAAGGAGTCAAAAAGGAATATTTCGGACTTAGCAAAAATCGAGGAAGTTGTTGATCATCCGATTGAGTTGTTCAGGATTTGGCATGATGAAGCACGAAGATACAATCCGAGAGCGCCAGACACCTGTTGCTTGGCTACAACTTCAAAGTTGGTATTGATTGTTGCCTTGAATTATATATTGTACATGAATTATGTATTGTACATGAATTATGTATTGTATATGAATTATATATTATATTCATTTTTTAATGAAAAATTTTGTTACAGAGATTGTAAAGTGTCTGCAAGAAACGTTGTTCTTCGAGAATTTGATAATGATGGTTTTGTAATTGTAACGGATATTCGGAGTAAAAAGATTGATAATTTAGTAAGTTTATACGAAATTTTAACATTTGACTTTTTTATTTATTAATCACTTTTGATAATTATAGGAAAATATTCCATATGCTGCAATGTGTTATCTTTGGTTTTATGTAAATGAGCAGGATCAGGAGATCAGCAAACAGGTGCATAATAAAATCAAATAATCGTATGTTTAATAAACACATAATATCATAACGTTTATAGATAAGAATAGAAGGCATTATGAAAAAATTGGAGAAGGAAAATTTCAAGCATCTATATGATAGAGAGCCATTGTTTTGTAAAATCCGGTCTCATATATGCAAACAAGGACATAATATCGATTGGGATGAATTAAAACAGCAACATGATGAAATATTTGATTCAGTTCGTAAAGGAGAAAATGATTTACCGATGCCGGATCATTTGTAAGTTTATCTACAAACATTTAACCTGATAATGAATATTCCATATTTAAATGTTGTTTCAGCGTTGGATACAAACTTTTTCCGACAATGATGGAATTTTATTTTGCAAGAGATTATTTTATAGGTGATCGTATATTATATCGTAAAGATACATTGAATAATTCTTGGAAGAAACATCGTATAGCAGCATAATATCATACATTAAATAGATGATTATTGCAATTTATTATTCCATAATAAATTTCCATAATAATATTTGAAAATTTTAGAAAAAAATTATTTTTAAAATCTAATTATTCTATATCCTATCCCTTTTTTATTGATTTCCATCATTAACACATGAGAAAATCCATGATAATCGAATTTATACAAATTAAATACAATAATTTTCTCTATTTATATTTTTATTATGGATAAAAATATAAAAAAAACGAAAAAGATTTTCTATATGAGTATTTTAAATTTAAATTCAATTGGTGCCATGAAATGGCGCTTAAATTCCAGTGTATCGAACCGGTATTAGTCACGTGACATGCGCAAAGGATTGTACGCATAAGAATGAATAAGAGAAGTCCTATCGGCTGGAGCCGCGTTTTATTGCGTTGCGCGCAGGTCTGAAATTCCGTAAGAGCCTGTTTGATCCTCGATGTATAAAGAATACCTTTGACCTATACCATGAACAGTGTTCACCGGTCATCGGATCGAGAACACGCTAAAAGTACTGCGTGATTCGTTAAGAAAATGCATAAGCATGCGGTCGACTTTAATCGTACACACAAAATCGCCTATCTTCTCCTCGAAGATGGTTCGGTCTTCCCGGGAAGACATTTCGGCGCGGAGAGACCGGTCGATGGTGAAATAGGTGAGTGTACGAGCAACACGTGCTCGTCCATTACGTCTACGCACGTGCATGGCTGTTTCCATGATATAACTTTATCTGTCGTTATTTTTCTGTTATGTATATATACATTTGATTTTAATTCAATAAGCATGATCGTTGTTCCCTTTAATTGAGCTATTCTGAAACGGATGCTTGAGTAAAAAACAAGAATGATATTTATACGTGATTTTTACAGACAGTGAATATTAAATAACCACGTGGATATTAAAATCATTTTATTACAACTCTGTTTTCATATGTTATCGTTTATTAAACAATCATCGCATTACTGCACTTCATGCAAGAAATTTTTTTATGTATCAGACATGTTTTGTTTATTTTTTCTGTGATACTTATCTTTATACTGACAGC